GATGGATGGATGGATGGATGGATGGATGGATGGATGGATGGATGGATGGATGGATGGATGGATGGATGGATGGATGGATGGACCAAATTGTATCTCACCTTTGAGTTTGTTGGGCGAGATCTCATTTGAATACACAGTTCAACCTTCATATGCACCACTAGTGATAAATTATCCAAAGTTTCTGCATCACATTAGGAGGAGTTTGGTGCAGAAATTAATCAGTTTGTCAGTTGCAGATACTTTACCTTAGCAAATATTTACAAAGTGGCCTTTAACAATTAAAAAAACAAGCTGCTGCTGTTCTTAAAAAACATTTCAAATTCTAATAATTTCCCACCCAACCTATGAGTTCTGCTAAAGAGTAGGTTTAGTACATGTACTTTACATTTAAATGTGTATAATTTTATGAAGATTTTTTTTATTCTGATGGTTCAGCCAATTTCTTCCTTGTATATTTTACACAACTGATTGAGAAATAACACATGCTGTAATAAATGTACTCACTGCAGAGACCCTCCTCCTTGAAAACCAATTTTCTTTTCCGAGTTGAACAAGGTCTCCAAGATTGTAAAGTAAAATATGCACTCTGTCCTTTTTATAATGCTGCCATGAAATCTCCCTTTAAACTAATACAACACAGTATAAAATGAAAAAGAATACATAAAAAGCAGGGAAGCATAGCTGAGATTAGATGTTTATTTAGAGCTTTCTCCGTAATAACACAGTTTATCCATTAAAGTAGCACGGGTGTCTTTGAGGCTTAGAGAGCACTTAAAAATGTTCTATTCCTCCTCAATCCTGTTCATTTCTCTGAAGGCACAATCAAATCTGTTCATCCTCTATCCTATCTAAAAAGGTAAGTACTATTTTAGTCCTGAATAGTGCGTACAGCCACTGAAATAGAAAATACATGAATGGCCTCTGATGGTGCAAGGCAAGAAATAATAAAGCCATAAGTACTGCAATTATTCTAGGTCTGAAGCTGTTACTGCTGTCGTTAGTTCATTAATACGTACAACAGCAATAATTAGGTGGACATTATTTTTAGATTTCTAGTAGAGCTGCTCTTAGTTTTAATGTATCATTTAAAGACTGAAGCACAAAAACTGTCAAACATAATCTGAATTTATGAGAAAAGTTTTTCTGCAATTTCTTATTTTAAGAATAAAACTGTGTGCTTGGAGCAAAATCTTTTCTTTTTGTTTCCGTCTTTTTTTTCGCCGTTTTGGTTTTGGTCCGAGTTTTTTATTTCGTACATATTTTTGAGTGTAAGAAGCTGTGTCATGAGGTAAGTCCTCAGTCCTATCCCAGGTGTGGTAAATAAGGGGGCCAAAATTCAAAACTTGGTCCAAGCCAAGGGATGATCTCTGTCAATAGTTATTGAAACTAATATTGATTTTAAATGTTATATAACAATTTATTCTTATAGAAATACAAATTACCCTTTTCAGATTATATTTTATGTAGTGTTATGTAACCTAACCGAGAAAGACAAATAAATTTAGAAAAACACATCATTAGCATTTACTTCTTATGCCTTACTCTCCATTAACAACTTTTTCATTTACTAAAAGATACATTTTATCACAATCCAGAAAATCAGTTAAGAAAAGAAAACTGCAATTAAATTGATTTTAAAAACTGAAGGAAATACATGATTAAAGTTGACTACAGTATAAAGACTGCACTGTATCCAGTGCCAAAAGGAGAAATGATAAAACTATTTTACATTTAATTTAGGACATTTGAGACCAGATAAAATGTTAACGAGGGCCAGATTTGGCCTAAGCATAAGGTCATAAACTGACAGAATGGAGATTCCCATGCTACCGATCACTGACCCCACCTAGCAAAATTAATTTGGCCCAGTTCTGGCCCACACAATGCAATAACACTCTAACACTCAACCCAGACAACACAAAGAATAATGGCCCTTTGGTGGTCCAGATGTGGTGCATTCATGGACCAGCACATAAACCAAACCATAACTGGGCCAGTTGTGGCATGCCATGTTAAAAACAAACCTGGTCCACATCCTGTTAACAAACAACTGTTTACATGCCAGCAGTGCCAGACTGACACCTGATCTGGCCCACACCTGAGTCTTGGGAACAGAATGTGGTCAAAATGTTGTAAATTTATCGATGTTCTGTAGACTATAAACAAATCTGTTGTTAAAACATTTTTAAATCTAGTTCATGACTTACCTTGTTATTTGCCAAGTATAAATAAGCCAACTGTTCGAGCATCTCAAACCCTTCATCTTCAAGACCTAAACAGAAAAAAATCACTAAATTTTAAAACAGCATAAAGCTACTTAATATTATATATGTTCATCTTCAGCTTTCTGTGTTTTCAAACTGCATTCAAAACAACAAAAGCACAATAATGTAAAGACGAATAATGAAATAAAAAAACAAATGATTAGCAGAGTACAAACTGAAAAAGCAAAACATATTAAAAATAACAGAACTGAAGCGCTCTGTCACATTTCAATATTATTTTACATGAACAATTTATGTAATGATTACTTTCTGTTTGATTAAAATCCATTCAGAGATATTTTGCTAACAGCAGGGTTGATGTCTGGTGCTCAGAGTGTGTCGAGGATGATGGCCAGCTTCTAAACACTCAATTTGCTCCATTCCTTTAAAACTGACTCAGTTTTATCCACTTTAGTGTTTGATAATGTCACTTAGCTGTGGCAGATTTTCATTATTTGTCCACTGGGTCATGATATATTTAGCTAAAGCTGCAAAGAAACACATAGACACACATTTTTGCAGTTTACAGTTTGTACATTTTTTCCCTAAAAAAACATAGAACCTTAGAAAAACACACAGTCGTTTCTTTTAAACTCCAAGGTGTCACAAGTCCATCAAGTTCAAATTCACTTTTAAAACTTTCCCATCAAATGAAAATTGATTCTTATTTCCCCAGACAGCTCACTTTATTTCCTGGATGTGACTATTTGCTGGGATCAAACATGTGTTGTTATGGAAGCTGAAGTGGTCGAGAGCTGTAATTCCCCTGCCACTGACACGTGCATTCTGAAGATATTTTTTTCTAAATTAAAAAAATCATCTCATACTGAAATAAGTCAGGGACAGAAAAGCTGCAGACCAAACTGTGTGACCAAACTTTGTGTTTAGTTTGTGTTCCGGTGTTTACCGTCGGTGGTGAGCCAGTTGTTCTGGAGGTTGAGGGTTTCAAGCTGATGAAGATGAGAAATGTGCTCCACTGTTATTTTTTTGATCTTGTTGTTCTAGCATAAGAAAACAAAACACACTGTAAATACATTGACATAAAGAAAAATCTGCATTGTGGATGACAGGAGGTATTCCAGAAAGCTGGTGTAGTGAAAACAGAGGTAATTCATCCTGAGTTTATGGAAACACTTGAGTTTTGAGTCTTAAAAACAAAAAAATACAAAGATAAGTGAAACGCTGAGCAGAGCCAGCTCTTGGCATAGGCGAACTAGGTGGTCGCCTAGAGTGCCATCTGCTGGAGGGGGCGCCAAACTGCAGAAGAGAAAAAAGCAATTGTTTGTAATCCCTGGTTGTAAGTCTGCTCAGCGCCCCTTTCAATTTGCTTTGTCTAAAAAACAATAATGAAGTATTACAGGAAAGATCAGCTACTCTACGCATAAAACACCCCCCCCCCAATGCAACAATCGCCCCCACCACCTCTCTCTCTCTCATTTGATTGACGTTGCACTGACTCGTCCTGCTCCGACACTCTGACGGGGGAGGGGCTAAAAGTGCCTCTCAGGTTGACATCAAAGCGGCCCGTTGATCCTGCTGACATCCATTCTGACACAGTGAGGACTGAGTTTGTCAGTCGAGGACCTTATGAGGTAAAATCAGACTTATATTTTCCAAAAAGAGAGGGCCTTCTGAATCTTTGCACAAATTGTGAACAGGTTCTTTTGTTTACTCTTTTCATTTGATTTAATTATATTCACTTTATTTAATTCATTTAATTTGTTGTGTGATGTATGTTTGTGTTTAAAGCAAATGAATCTAAGTTTACCATAGTAAACTAGTGGGGGGGGGTTGTGCTTCAACTCGCCTAGGGCACCAAAATGGCTAGAGCCAGCACTGATGCTGAGCAAAGCCATTTTATATGCTATAGGTCAGGGGTGCCCAAACATTTTCCCTGAGAGAGTCAAAATTAAAATCAATCTGAGGGTCACAGGCCAATTCCAGTAATATAATACATGAAATGCAAATACTTCTTAAGTAAAGCTGTTTTGTTTTTTATGATTAAGCTAGCAGCCAGTGCAGTTGCCCACATTCTTTGTTGTTGTTGTTGTTGTTGTTGTTGTTGTTGTTGTTGTTGTTGTTGTTGTTGTTGTTGTTGTTGTTTTCAGCCCATGGATGTGGAAAAAATTCAACATATGCTCGGGCAGCAAAGGCTCATGGGACTTTTCATAAATTAAAATTTGAGTATATACTGTATGTGGTCTTATAAAATGTGCAAATTTAAATGTGTGCTTAAATCTAATCATGTATTGTGTAGTTACTTGTAGTATATGTTTAATCTTAACATAATTCAATGATAAAGTGAGTATCATGAGTAAAGACTATCTGACTTCATCTCCTGCAGTATAGTTGGACCATTGGTTGAAAAGTGGAAATATAGTGTTTCTATACAGAACAGGAGATTACAATGTAATAACCAGGACAACTGCTGGTGGGCCAAATCAAATGGCAGGCCAATGTTGGCCCATGAGCCCCACTTTGGGCACCTCTGCTATTGGCAAACAAAGCTAGTATCTAAGGCCCAAAAGCTTCAGGAGGCACCAACTGAGCAAAAATAAAATGTTCTATCTTTACAGCGATCAAATTGCGTTCCTTACATGGTCAAAAAAATGTTTTCCTTATATTTTTTGCTCCACTCTCGGAGGAGTAAGACGCTTTTTCTCTCTCTCCTGCCCTCCCTTATCTTTCCCTGCTTTGCTGCTCGGAGCCTCCTCTACGTTTCCATCCAAAACTGAAAATTATGGATTTATTTTTATGGACTTGGTTAGCTGGTCTCAATAAATTTTTGGAACAAAGTTTTCCTCCATGGGAGGACTTGTCAAAGGTGGGACCTCTGTTCTGCTCTGTTCTGGATATACTGTATATTTGGATTCTGATCACTGGATTCCACAGATTGGACTGGTGGTCTCCTGGTGTTCTACAAAACAATGTTGGTGGCTATTCAGGCCATTTCCTGGCTGTCTGACTAATATGAAGGATTGCCGTTCTATCAGCACTCAGACTTTTGCCTTGAGCGAGCTGGACTCGGTCTACAAGCGGTTCTGAGGGTCGCAGGCTGGCTGAAGTCCCTGGACTTTGCTGGCCAGATGGAATTGATCTTGGAGAAGCTGATAACTCGGCTCGACAGGATTGCCCACACTATTTGTCTGATTGGATTTGCCACCTTGAGATGCACCAGCGGACATTAAGGCAGATGGGAAATTATTATTTTCTGCCTGACCAAAAACATTTTCTTCTGTTCCCAAACAACTGATTACAGATTTGGATCTCTCCCACATAACCTTGAAGAGCTGTGGATCTAAATTCTCCTGGTGTTTACGATGACTTGGCTTGGTCTCCACCCCCCACCCCCCTCTCGCTCTGTCTAATCTGATCCCCTGAAGGTCAATCTGGAGCTGTGCAGAATGAGCAATTAACACCAGTATTCTGAACTTTGGCCAAACTATGGGTTTTTATTTTGGAGAGCTGGATTCTTCTGACTCATTCCCTCTAAACTCACTTACTCCTCTGGCTAATAAATTCTTGCTCTGCAGAGTTTTTTCATAAACACCATAGTGTATCATATTTCGTTGATACAATGTTTTGTTTTCTTCCTCATCTACCTTTGTGTGGTATTTTCATTTTTCTTTTTAAAGGTAGCACGACCCCTGCTGGTTGCCGCATGACCTGTTCACCTGTTCCCCCATGTTGGTCAAGTGTGTGTCTTGAATGGGTGGTTTTAAATTAATTTCATTGTGCTCTGTACGACAATAAAGGCATCATCAATGAATTAGAGATAGGATAAATGGCCCTTTGAAGGGATCCGGATCTTGATGAGCCGTTTGTTTAATAGAACTGTTCAAAACAGCCGTTCATCATCATGAAGCAAAATACGTCAGAAACCATTATTATTTGCTCACTGGAGCAGAGTGGGCACTGCCCACAGGAACGATGGGAATGATTGACAGCTACCCATAATTCCTCTAAGTTTGTACCCATGCAGCTGTGATCTATTCGATACTGAAGCAGAATTATTTCATAAAACCAGACATCAGGACAGGATTTACCTCCTAGACTGGATATTTTAAATTTTGCTGCACAACTTTTCACCAGATTTACTGTGGTAACATTCTCCCTCTGTACATATCCAACGTGACACCTCAGACCTGCGCTCTCATCAGTCATTTGCAAAAATTAATTTGCTGAATCAAATATCTCCACGATCACCATAACACAAAAATAAAAAAACCATTTGTGGTTTTGACCTGGAACCGGAAGGTCGCCGGTTCGATTCCCGTCCAGTTGACTCAGTCATTGTGTCCTTGGGCAAGACACTGTGGTATATTTTATGTCCTATCCCTTTAAGAAATATGAACGAGCGTCAGACCGTGAGCGGGTCCGACCGGAGCGCGCATGGAGCGGGCACGCGCTCTTTGTTCAGTGTTCTTCATATCACCACGCTGTTAAAGACCTATTCCAGATGTCTCGCTCAATAAACATGTCTAGAAGCTGAAGAAATCGCCTTTTTTCATTTATATATCAGCCTAAGAGTTTTTTAACCGTCAACAAGTCTACAGGAGGACGATCTCTGTTTGTCCAGCGAATCAGCCGGATTCAGCCACCAACTGACGGAGACGAGAGAAAGGTCCACATCGCTGAAGGGCCCCGGAGAACCGGACGAGACCCCACAGTTCTGGCGTCACGATTTCAGGCCTGTAAAAAGCTTTAAAAGGTTAATATCAGATTGATGGAGGTTTTTTACAGTCGTAAATACTTCTGTTTTATTTGATTAATGCCTTCAGAGCTCAGAGCGGGTCGTGTGCGGGTTTTTTGTCGTCTGCTTAACAGCGTTTGGGGCCCTGTGTTATTGTCTACTTTCTGTCTGTTTTGTTTTGCGTGTTCAAACCTTGCTAAGTTATTATTTTAATGACGTGTTCACGCCACTGAGATTGTGTGTTCTCGGGTGGTTTCTGAGTTGAAAATACGCGTATTTGAAGTAAAATGTGTGTGAGATGCATCTCCGGTTGTAAGTTAGCCGCTACTCCGTAGCTAGCGAAACGGGTCAGGCATAGAGACGTCTTAGCTGCCCCGGCTAGCTGCAGTAGGGTGCGGTCACGAAGCAGTCCAACCTAGTTTTTTTATTTATTTCGCCTGTATATGAGTAAACGGTTACAGATGTCTTTTAAGGCCTAAAGAGCTGTGTAAATCCGCTGAAAGAGGACAGTGGAGATGAATAGAAAATAGGTGATGGAAGCTTTGTAGGTATAATGGTAATTTAAAGGGGACACGTCAGGGATTTTGGTTATTTTTTTAAAGTTCTGTTCAAGCAAGGTAGTGCAGGCCTGTGTGTGTTTCTGTTCTAAATGTGTGTGTTTCTGTGTTAAATGTGGAGTTTTTCTTGTTTTTCTGTTATTTTTTGTGTATTAATTTGGCGACACTTGGGCTGGACCCAAATGTGGGGGTTGGTTTTAAAGTTTTTTCTTGAGGCAGCTCCTTTGTCCTGTCTAAAGTGATTTATTGCTGGAAAGTTTCAGGAGGGGGGTTGTTTTTTGGCTGCTGTGGTGAGGACATCTGGATTTGATTAACTTTTTTTTTCTCTCTCTCTTTTTCTGTGGTTCTTTGTTCGGGGCCTCCCCCTGCTGGTGAGAGGGACATCTTCCTGCTGCAGGAACGACCCTGGGGGCTGCTTCTTTTCTTTAAACAAGGCGAGTAATCTGTTTTATCCACAAAACTAAATAAAAACAAACAATAGAAAAATAAGAAAAAGCATTATTTTAATTCTTTGTCATTTTTGAGTAACAGTTTCTGAGCATCGACTGTTTGCGCTTTGTAGTGACTTGTTTTATCTTTAGGTGATCGTTTCAATTTCATTTCACGATCAAAGAGAGGNGTCGATTCTAAAGAATCGAAGGGGGGATATGTGGTATATTTTATGTCCTATCCCTTTAAGAAATGTGAACGAGCGTCAGACCGTGAGCGCGTCCGACCGGAGCGCGCATGGAGCGGGCACGCGCTCTTTGTTCAGTGTTCTTCATATCACCATGCTGTTAAAGACCTATTCCAGATGTCTCGCTCAATAAACATGTCTAGAAGCTGAAGAAATCGCCTTTTTTCATTTATATATCAGCCTAAGAGTTTTTTAACCGTCAACAAGTCTACAGGAGGACGATCTCTGTTTGTCCAGCGAATCAGCCGGATTCAGCCACCAACTGACAGAGACGAGAGAAAGGTCCACATCGCTGAAGGGCCCCGGAGAACCGGACGAGACCCCACAACACCTTACCCGCCTTGCCTACTGATGGTGGTCAGAGGGTCCGGTGACACCTGTGTATGGCAGCCTCACCTCTGTCAGTGTGCCCCAGGGCAGCTTTGGCTACAATGTAGTTTGCCATCATCAGTGTGTGAATGTGTGTGTGAATGGGTGAATGTCTGTAGTGTAAAGCGCCTTGAGTGTCCTGGATGGATAGAAAGGCGCTATATAAGTACAGTCCATTTACCATTTGTGGTTGATACCTTTTTCTTCTCTCCTTCAAGCCTTTAAATTCAGAAGTTCAAACTGAAAACATTTTTGGAAACAATAAAACTTTCACCCAACTTTAACTGGAGTTTCAGTAAAAGATTTTCTGGCTTTACTTTCCTGATTTTGCAATCCAAACACAGTTTCCTCCTCTGTTTTTATTAGTCATAAAGAGACCATTTAAAATATGCAATAAAACCTTTAAGAGAATAATAACTGAACAACCATGAGAAATTAATTGGTGTTCATTATAGTTTAGAGGTTATTTATTAAAGACCCTTCAGATATCAGACAGCTTCTATTCAGCAGCAGGTAGGGAAGTACAGCCAAGCTCATTTAAAAATTAACCAAGCGTAAATCAAATTTGTCTTCACCAAATATTATTTTTGGTTTATCACGATGAAAATCAGATCAAAACAGACTTTTTTTTTTTCAAATCAACATTTTGACTAATAAGTTTTATTTAGAGGCATGTGGCCAGTTTATTTTCTTTAATTATTTGACTTCTAATATGAATGCTGAAAATAAAATCAAATTATATTGGGAAATATTCTAGCTCTGCCACTAAGAGGTCAGCAGAACAAATGTGCCTCCATTCAGTTGGTCCAGTCCTGTTTTGTTTTATTTATTTATTTATTTATTTATTTATTTATTTATTTATTTATTTATTTATTTATTTATTTTGCCTTGCCATTGTACAGTTGAGGTATCGAAGCTCTATTACTGATGGTTTGTGTTGCCCTTGAGCATGCTCTCTCAGACTTTGTAACACCTCCTCTCTGGAATACCTCCTGCTTGTATCTCTCGTGTGTGAAGGACCTGAAGAGAAAGCTGCCTGGTTTTCTCAGACAGCTCTTCGGGGAACTCTGTGAGGTCCACTCCCGCACAGTCCACTGCTCCCTCTGCTGTGCAGCTGCAGTCCAGAGGACATTCGATTGCTGTTGCTGTTGTGTTGTCAGCGTCCTTCCCCAGCTCGTCTTCCTGTTCTTCCTCTGGTTGAAGAAGAGTCTGGCAGCGCACCAACACCAGAGCCAAGAGCATCACACTCAGGGCCTGCAGGATGAAAGGCTTCAGAAGGTCCATGTCCACTGCTGATTTGTCCTGCTGGACAAGCAGAGTGCAGGTTAGACCTGACAGAGGGCTTTGATACTGTACATTGAATCAGTAGATGCTGACGGTTGAACTTTAAAAGTTGCATTTTTGTCAGCAACCTCTGAACTAGCGCACTTCCTATTTTAGCAACGCCCTGTTTACATGCAGGCAAGAGCAGACTGGTATACAGGGCTACCAGGTGGGTTAGTTGGTTGGTGGGCTGCTGGTGCTTCAGCCCATGGAGGTGCTGTCATGTGGCGCCATGTTTTATTCCTCTTGAGTCCTGAGCTTTTGCTTTGTGCTCGTTTTTAATTTCTCCTATTTAGGATTATTAGAAACTTATGATGTCTGTAAAAACACTGTCTTTAAGAAATTTAAAGTTAAAAAAATACAAATACAGTATAAATTTTACTTAATTAAAAACAAAACTTGAAATCTAGTTCCCCTGAATAAGGACAACCATGTTATATGCAAATGTTAAATTCATAATTCTAAATGTGTGAATCTAAATGTAAAAATTAAAATTAAAATATTGCAGCTAAATGACAAAGCTTAAATTTTCAAATTTCAGAATGGAACTCAGCCTTTGCTGTTGGTGCACGGCTCTTGTTAGAACATCATCATCCTGCAACAAAAGCAACCACTAACTCTAACGTCAATGCTAACGCTGCTAACTGCTGCTAACCGCTGCTAACCGCTGATGAAAATGGTGTTTAAATTTATTATTTAAAATGTGTTCATTTAAAACAATATGGGGGTACCTGTGGTCAAGCAGTTTGAAGTGCAGCTCGGATACCAGCCGTAACTGCAAGCTTCATGTCTTGAAGGGAAGTGTTAGCAGAGTTAGCAGTTAGCAGTGTTAGCATTTGCTTTTGTCTCAGGATGATGACATCATAACAAAAGCCGAGCATCAATTGCAAAGGCAGCCAAAATATTTAAGTTTTTTTTTTACATTTAGATTCAAGATTTAATATTTAGATATAAAATTTGCCACATGTAAGACCAGTGAGCTAAATAATAATAAAATGTTAGTGGAATTATTTAAACTAGGATTTTACACTCAGAAAGTGAGATAAATAATGAAAATGTGTTTGTGACAATTTTAACATTTTATTTTACACTTGGCGCCCCATAGACAACCGGTCTAAATTAAGGATGCAGGTTTTCAGGAGGTTAGAGGCACTACTATCAATAAACATATAAATATTAAATTTTGCAGTACTGTGGAACAGGTGGTAAAGTTCTTGCAGGGACCTCTCTGGGTGGAGCTTCACCTTGTGCACGAGAGGGTTTTCTCCAAGTTCTCCAGTTTTGTCTCAAACAAATGAATATTTTTTATTGTTTTAAAGAGAGTTTTGAACAAAGTCATGTTAAAGTCTTAAAAAATTCAACTCATCAGTTGATAGTGGGCCGGTCTGTCACAAACCCCTGGACCACTTTTTCTTCCCAGTCCGCCCTGCATGCAGGAGTTCCTCTTCATCACTTCTTGTTACTGCTCAAGCAAATCTTAGCAACTGTTCATCAATATCATCATCATTTTTTTTTTTGCAATATGTCATTAATATTATTTTTCCAGTGATGTTTTTGTATTTATCACTGTTGGCTGTGGCAGCCATCTTGAATTAGTTTCAGATACAGCCAGCAGTAACTTTCTGAAATACCTAATTGTTCATGAGATATTTTCCTAACAGACAGTCAGCGTTGATTCCAACGGCAATGACAAAGTTTCAATAACAGCACTCAGAAGCTGTATTAGAAATGACTCTCAGCTACAACCACACCAGATTTTAGCTCATTATCTGTAAAATCAGCTGAATTTATACAGTTTTGTTTTGGCTCTGATGACTTAGTTAAACAGGCAATAAAAAGAAAACAAAAATCACGCATAACATCTTGATCCCTTTTTTTTTCAACCAGTATACAAAGGATCTTTGTTGATAATTAAAAGTTTAGAAATAGGTCAAAACGAATATATAAGAACGCAAGTTCCTGTTCAGTTAAGCTTTACATGTGAAAACAAGAACAAAAGCGCATTAATTTTCTCCTCTTATGTTAGAGAATAAAAGAGGATCTCCCAAAGCAAACAATTAAACACCGCTAATCAATGGAGCTTCCTCTGCATGTCACATTAGAAAACCATTAGAAAAACTTGGGAAAACATCCACCTAAGAGAACACACACATGTGCAAGACATCCACAGCTCAGCATTCATCCTTTACTTAGTGCACAACTGGAGGAAAAAAAAGGTAAACATAAAAACAGGGTAGCATCCAGAGGTCAGAGAGGAGTTTATAACGAAGTCAACAAGAGTTTCATCCTATAACTTGTAGTTTATAGGTTTGAAGTAAAAACAACCCTCAGCCACCCTGACTGCAGCAGTGCTTGTTTGTTGGCTCAGCAGCACGTTTTTAACTGGCTGGACTCTCAAACACATACCGGAACTGTCAGATGAATCATAGTGACACCAGAAACTCAGCCTGAGCGCCCGTCTAACATCAGAGCCACTCCTAAAACACGCAGCAGCACAGTTTGCTAAGAAAAAAAAAGAAGAAAAAAAAGCAACATTCAGGTGTACTTTACCCCCGTTTCACTGAGAAGCACTGAAGTGTGAGTGGTCCCACCACAGGCTGTCCCATAGCAGGCGAGAAGTCAAACAGCTGCACCAGAACCCCTCCAGATGTGGAGTGGAAGAGGGAAGGTTAGAGAGAAGAAAGGCAGGAAAGAGTGAAAAGGAAAAGGGAGTTAGGAGGAGGGTAAGTTCTGACCTGACTGAGAGCCAGAAGCACAAATTCTTTCTGCTTTACTCTCTTTTTTTCTTTTCTCTATACCATGTTTCTTTTTTCTTAAGGTTGCACTTTTTTGATTAGAAAAACATAACTGGAAACAAACATGGGTTGTGATAAGTTTATTTTTGGATTCAACAAAACATTTCCGAAGTCAAACACAACATATTGATATCTACTGTATACTTTTCCTTTTCTTTATTAAAAAGGCAAAAACTTGCACAGAGAAGCTGGAGATCATTTTAAATAAACACGATGCACCAAAACAGTAGTGAACCGACAACATCGTGGTGCTATTTTCTTTAAAAAAATAAAATGTAACAATTTTGCTCCACTTTCAATATCATCTTTCAATTAGGATGGCAGGATGGAGCGACTCAGAGGAGACATTCCACCCTTTTTAAAGAAGTGTTATTTTGGAACTGAGAAGTTTAGCTGTCCAATAGTAAATAAGTGTCTGCCAAAAGAGAGGCGACATGATGTGATCTAATATCAAATGTGTTTCTGGACTGTATTTTATTCCATTAAGTCCAGGAACAATGACAGAACATCTGCTACAGTTAGGATGCATTCGGTCAACAGTTCTCAGGGAGATGTTTTTTCTGCTGATTCATTCCTGAAAAAAAAAATTTTCCCACTTTTTTCTTTTTTGTTCACTTTCTACTTTGATGTAAAATGATTTTTTATGAGAGCCTTAACTTTTTATCATCATGTCTGCGTGAAAGGCTCCCAAACATTCCTTCCCACTATAATAAAAATTGATTTTGACACATTTTGTGTCTTTAGAAAGACGAAGATGTTTTTAATTTCTTGAAGTCGTGTGCGATAAAGGCTGCCCAGTGATCAGTGGAACTGTCAGGGAATGTCAAGACCCAAAATGAGTTTTTGCACCGAGTCACACTTGCAAAAAAAAGTAATTTGAGCAGATGCTGTGGCATTTACAGATCCAGAAAGCCTGGTTCATTCAGATTTTTTACCAACAAAATGGAAAAAGTCATCAGTTAAGTCTTCAATTATTTTTACCATTTTTTATTTTAGATTTTAATTTAGAGATGTGCACTCAAGTTGGAAGCAGATTATTTCCCCCATGACAAAAACATAAAACTTAATATTTAAAAATTTAGGATAACTCTCATTACCATACATTGCATTGTTTGTTCATCAAATTCATAGTAGATGTTGAAGAAATCAGAATCAGATTGTTCTGCAGAAAAGCTGCATGAATGCTAAATTAATTTGAGATTTGATCAAGAAGCTGAAACTGACTTTTTAAAGTTAAAACAAGAAAGACTAAAGTTTGAATAAACAGAGAAAAAGTTCAAACAAACGAATGCTCCGGGGATTAGAACACCAGCTAAAGTAAAACAAAAAAGGACACGAGTTAAACTGAGAAGACAAAACTTAACTAAGCAGAGCAGTAGCTGACGAAGTGTCAGGGTGTTAAAGTCTCTGCTTCTGAGCAGGGCTGCGCTGCTGTGTTTGGGTTTTCCTGATATCAGCCCAAGGTCTGACTGAGGCCTGTGTGCTGAGTGCTGTTCTGTGAACCTGACTGGAGTCAGAAGATTGAAAATAAAGTTTTAAAGAAGAAATCCAACTGAGTCCTGTTTATTCGGACATACCATTTTGAACAACACATATTTTTCCAACAATTTGGTAATTGAAGGTTGTCGCATGGTGAACTCTCTGCTTCTGAGCAGAGTGGTTCGGCTTTGTTTGGGTTTTTGTGAGGTGAGCCCAGGGCCTTTCTGAGGCTGGGGTTGTATAATTAATCTTTGTGTGGATATGGCTTCTTTATTTAGGGTAGAAACCCTATAATGGTCAAAAGGACAAATAAGTACTAATAAACCTTTAATGAGATTGATATTTCAAACTGGTATGATAGCTGTAATTGGATTTGCTGCAGCACAAATTCATAAAATTCGTGACAAACGGACAATTACGAAAGGAATTACAACATCTGATACATATTTTCATCCAGATCTTAGAATATTCATTTACACAATATTCATTTACACATTTACACATCCTGTGTAAATGAATAAAGGGGGAATAATTAATTGGAATGGGTTCATTGTTGTTTTTGAATGTGATTATAATATTGGTAACTTTTTGTTTTACAGGAACTAAGTGAGATTTTGGCCAATCGGAGAAGCTAACCTGAAAAAGGGGGAGGAGAATGTTTAACTGAATACTGGGGAAATGATGACTTCCTCTCTCCCAGAATACACCTGGATAATTAAAGGTTTTTAAGATGTGTAGTAGGTATATAACAAATTTGTTATACGCTCAAAAGATCAATTAAAAGGTCACACAGCAGGCAGATATATCAGTTCAATCCCAGTGAAAGGGGTGATGATTTTGTTTCATCTTTGCTCTGTGAATAGATCATTCAGAGCAAGGTTTTTACAGGTCATAACAAGCCTCGATTGGGTGAAACTGATATGACAAAGACGTTGGATGAAAGAAAGAAAAAAAAAAACTGTTTGAGTCCAGTGCGAAGACAACATGTATGATAATGTTTAACTTTAAAATTTTGACTATATCAAAACATAACAAATCCCATAGGTCTCAAGCTTGGAGTAATACAAATTTGGTTTACAGGTGGAAATTTACATGGTTTCACTGAGGTGGTGAAAACTAATGTTTAATTTTCAGGACAATACAGCGGATTGATGTTGTCAATCTGATGTGAACAACTGGGATGTGAATAACTATCTGTGCATGCGTAACCATTCTCTTTCAGGGTTTATAATTTAAGTTGGTGATGGTTACAGGGGGTACAATAATTGTCGGCGGTTTAGTTACAGTTTATATATTTTTTTTATTAGAAGACAGTTACACGTGTTGGGCCTGAAGGTGGTAGTAGGGAGGTACATTGTGGTTAATTGACATGATGAGATGTGGTTTTTGGATTATGTTATTTGCTTGATCATTGCAGAATAGTTAGCTGGACATTTGGGTGGTGTCACATTAAAGTGGTATATTCTTCGGCTAATTTCTGGTGTAGTAAGGGGGTCTGTGGAGATGGCTTAGCACAGTGATTTCTCAGTGGTTGGTAAACATGGTAAAAATAAAAAGGCTTGAGTCTATGATGGTGCCTGGGTAGTGGTCCGATTGCATTTATGGTGGCTTCATAAGAGTGTATTCAAAGACCGTCTCCCAGACGAATAGGAAAGCTTAAGTATCATTGGAGAAACATCCACCTTTTGGCCTACGAGATGAGACAACAGGAGGATTCCATCCCTGGGACCACGATCCATACTAAAAGGGCGAGGAGTGATGGCGTGGAGAAAAAAGCCCCAACGTCTACAGCTGACATTTTTAGATATAGAATGATAACACTGAAATAGTTACACTCACGTAGTCGGACATGATATTTGTAGGTTAACAAGTCGATGGTAAATGATTTTTGTAAAATGTTGTTTGATTTTCCTTTATGTTTTCCATTATTGATTCTTTTTATAGAAGTGGCACACTAAGCAGGATATGTTTAGAACTGTTTTAGCATTTTGGTTGATTTGTTTTTACTGTTCTTTGTACGGTTTAATTGTTGATGAGCTAAAGTTAAATCTTAATATGCAGGGATATGTTGTTAGTAACCAGGTCAGTCTGCCACGGAAGACAGGGGGAGATGGAACGGTGCTGAAGACTTGTTCCCGATGGTAGGCCATGTTCTGGAACCTCTGGCCTCGAACGAATAAACACAGCTGACCTGATTGGTATTTGACAATAGTTCAGTTTATATTTTCTATTTTTTTTTTATTGGGGTGGAATAAATGGATCATATTACTTTATACCAGGGGTGGGATGTTAGTAATTTTCCACATTGTGTTGTATCACTTACGGTAATTTGCATACACATTTGTGCCTTAATGCGAACATATAGATTATTATAAATTTCTTATTTTTGTTCACATGATTTGTTCATGTGAACAGGGGGATTGAAGAAATTTAAAGTTATTAGAGGTTAGTACTGATGTTAAAAGCACAACACTATTTTCTTAGGTTTTCCTTTTTGTAATGTTGACAATGTTTAATCTATTATGTTTTGATTGAAATAAGTTCAGTTACATGTCCGAAATATGTGACAACACATAATCAAACGTTGTGATGACAGTAGCTGAGGATTTTGTCTGAATGCCTGAGATTCAGCCGTAGGTCAGTAGGGGGCATATACAGTATATACTGTATATATATATATATATATATATGAACTTCCTGGTTTTCCGGTAGTGTTGGTTTCCTGTCAGCTTCAGTGACAATAAACCTCACTCAGATCCAGAGTTAAGGTGTTGTATGGTTTAATTCCTTCTACAAATCATTTTATTTAACAATTGTGTTTTTAATATCGACTTCAGTTTATTGAATACGAATTTTCTTACAGTGGACTGTTTTTCTTCACAACAATGGCTTCCAGTTGTCCCCCTCCTACAGTGCTGTTATTGCAAGTATTGCAAGACAGGTGATGGGGCACATGACCCTCTATGAACAATAGAACCAATCAAGGCACTGATGATGGCCCCGTGGCTCAGATGTGGTTTGCCAGAGGTGGTCCACATGTGGGCCAGCATCATATAAACCAAACCACAACTGGGCCAGTTATCCCATCATTGCCAGACCTGGCCCACAGCCTGTTGACAAATCACCAGATCTGGTCAACACCTGTCTGCTATGTGGGATCTTTCCTGTCCTTGCTGAAGAAAACTGCCCCCACAGCATGATGCTGCCACCGCCATGCTACACAGTGGGGACGGTGTGTTCATTGTGTTGGTAGGCTTACAGTTGTGCCGTTTTCTTTGCATTTTCAAATTATGGTTTGAACAGAACTTTGTAAAATATTCAAAATTAAGAATATTGTTATAAAACTTACCCTGCTTTAAACTTAACGTTCTCCCTGCCTTGTCTGTTGTGTTCCTTGGTCCTCATGATGTTGTTTGTTTGATCACAAATC